AACATCAGTACCACACAAACACCAGTGCCACACAAACACCAGTTCCACACAGACACCAATTCCACGCAGACACCAGTGCCACACAAACACCAGTTCCACACAGACACCAGTGCCACACAAACACCAGTACCATACAAACACCAGTGCCACACAAACACCAGTTCCACGCAGACACCACTGCCACACGAACACCAGTACCACACAAACACCAGTGCCACACAAACACCAGTACCATACAAACACCAGTGCCACAAACACCACTGCCACACAAACATCAGTACCACATAAACACCAGTGCCGCACCACAAGGACACCAACAGAACCTAAGTGACACCACACCTTGGCACCTTCCTCCCGGTCTCGATTTGCAGAAAGATGAGAGAAACAGATGAAATCTGTGGCACCTCGAAGGTGATCTAATCTAGAACGATAGTGCTATGCTTAGCCCACCTTCCTGGCATGGGAAATATATATAAGTCACAAATATCAAAGATCAGTTAGCTATCTACCTGTTTTGACCTCAGGCTTGTCGCCAGTGGCATAGGATCATCTTAAACAGGTTAGGTTAGGTAAGATTCATCAGGAGACAGAAATAAGTACTTCCCGACGCGGGTCATATGATGACCCACTGCTGGAGCATTTGGTCACCTGACCGAGGCCTTCCACTGGCTTACCACTCCACCCCCTTTCAAAATTAAAGTTATATTATAGCAAATATGTTGATCAGCATGTTGACAACCTGGAAACTAGTGAGGCTGATGACTGACAACCTTCAGCACATCAGCCGCACGAAAGTCAGTCGTACCTATTCATTAAACGCCTATAAAAGCTTGTTTGTTAGCCTACAAATCACATAGGAACGAAATAGTCAGCGTAGGTAGACCGAGAGAGTTTACGGTGTGGTTAAAATTAGATTCACAGCTGCGTTTGGTGTCTCCCTGGACCCGGCCGGGTTTACCAATTAATGCAAGTGTTCATCTATACATCCGTAACGTTACTTTGTAAATACAAGAACCGAATTTTGAAACATTTAAGATTTATAATAATAATAATAATAATAATAATAATAATAATAATAATAATAATAATAATAATAATAATAATAATAATAATAATAAATCATGAATAATTAGGTAATTATGGATAGCAACAGTGAGAACACAGAAGGTCCACTAAATTTTTTCGTGCAATAAAGGGACAAATTCAGTGATATTTCTCCGAAGATAGTAACTCTTGTAAACGAAATTGCTGTATAGCCCTTGTGGCTTAGCGCTTCTTTTTGATTATAATAATAATGTAAACGAAATTACCGAAAAACAACTTTCAATTGTGTTGCCACCGAGGTTATTTTGCATATATGATCATATAATGTTTTTTGTGATTATATATATTATATATATATATATATATATATATATATATATATATAATAATAATATATATATATATATATATATTATATATATATATATATATATATAATATATATATATATATAATATATAATATATATATAATATATAAATTATATATTATAATATATATAATATATATGTGGGTGGACTTGTATATAAATATGTGTGTGTTGAAGACACATGGCATCTGTTTATATAGAGAGTTAATAAATTTTTTGCTCAAGTCTCAAGTGATGTTAAGAGAATAGTGAGAGAAGGAGAGCATTGTTGGCAGGTTAGTTGTGTCGCAGCCACTACTCTGTATCTCTGACAGGCTATTATAAATATATATATTCATGGTTTATGTATGACCTATAAGAAATTCTTTTGGATGAATCATTAATAATCATGTATAAAACACTGGTGATTTTTTTTATATATACCTGTTGTGTTATTTTTGTAAAATGTTCACCTCACCTCACATGTGTATAAAGAGAGAGAGAGAGAGAGAGAGAGAGAGAGAGAGAGAGAGAGAGAGAGAGAGAGAGAGAGAGAGCATGTTCATAACTGTGTTCAGAGTCGCATGTTATATACAGTTGTGTTTTAATACTATTGTGACAATCAGCCACTCTACAAGATAGGGGATAATAGTCATGTCACAATAACCTACTCCAATATTTTAAAATGACATAATTTTTGCGACACTTATTGCTATGCCACTTTGGATCTTGTATAAGCTTAACTGCTGATCACTTTTTTTAAAACCTACCACACTTTATAATTATGAAGGAATAATACTCTGAGTTATTGGTCTATTCCATATGAAACTTTGCCCGTGCGATTTTTACATGTACATTAAAACAGTGTAGACCGCCGTCTTATTCCTCTTTTTTTCCTTACTGGAGGGCATGAAGGATGGATCTGGTGTTAACCTCACTGGAGGGAGTGAAGAACGGATATCTGATGTTATCTTTGTAATTTTTGCCAGGGGTGGTGCCAGAATTTCTATGCTGGGGCTTAGGTGTGACTAAGGGGGACTAGGAGACTCTTATTTTGAAACAGCTACTATTGTTACTATTTTTATTTGGAGGCTAAGGCAATTTTTGGGGAGCAGAAGCCCCTCTAAGTCTCCCTTCTCTCTCCTTGATGCTGCCATTCATTCTTTTCAAAATTGACCATGTTCCTAACACACCTAGAAAATTAAGCTCCTGCACATATAGGTAACTCTGTAGTTCTACATTGTGTTCCCTGTATATCTATATGGCCAGGTCCGACTTCCATTCCCCGAAGACATAGGTAATTATGTCCTCGATAGGCCTAGACATGTAAGTGCCCTACAGACCTGAACAGTCATGTTCCCTGCAGACCAAAGTAAGTATGCTTCCTGGTGGCCTACAAAACCATGTTCATCTCAATTTAAGTCCCTCAACAGAAGTTGCATCATATATAGCATCCTTCAAATGCATCCAACAGGCGATTTACCTGACATACTCCCCATATGATCTCTGCATGTTATTATTATAATCATAACTACGTGCTAAATGATCTCTGCATAAATATCCTCATCTGATTCCCTTATTGACATCCATACATATGTGTCTCCTGAGTCTCCATGATCTCCCCTGCATTCACTTCTTTCCCTGGCTCTCCCTACACTATTACAATACCAAGACACATTGGATATTTTTTAACACCCCAGCCATTCCCACCTAGGTAGGGTGTCCTGAAAAAGAAGAAACACTTTCACCTTCACTCACTCTGTCACTGTCTTGCCTGAGGCATGCTGATTTTACAGTTCAGATGCCCACCCACACTGCAACATCCTCACTCCTCCTCCAGACTGCAGGCACTGTATTTCCCACCTCAAGGACTGCAACATCCCCACCTCTTCTTTGTAGTGCATGTACTGTACTTCCCACCTTCAGGGCTGCAACATCCACATCTCTCCTTCAGAATCAGTATTTCACTGTTTCATTTCCATTACGGGGGTTTTTAGGTAAAAACTGAAGCATCTCAGAAAATGCCTCAAACATTTTGGGAACATTGAAAAATACAATAAAATCATATTTTAACACATTTTTTCTATAGAATGAAATATTTTACTAATGCCTGCCTTTCCTTATTTGACTCAGTAAACATTCAAAAGAAAAAAAACAGAGAAAACACAGTCACCATCAATCACTGTCTTTCCAGAAACATGCTAAAATCAGAGTTCAGATGATCCTCCGAGTTGCAACATCCCCACATCTCCTTCAGAGTGAAGGCACTGTACTTCCCACCTCTAAGACTCAAGACTGGGTAACTGGTATCCCTGAGACCATTCATAAATGTTACCTTGCTCACACTCCAACAGCCTACCCATTCATAAAAACCACTGGCTTCCACTCACTCCCTTCTAACACTGTATGACACAGAGGGGTCATACAGGGTAATGGAGAGTAATCAGGCATGATGTAAGAAAGGGAAGGATAGTTGCAGTTTCTTGGATTAAGAAAAAATTACAAAAAAAAAAAAATTAGGCTGCAGATGTCCAGTCTTCACTGAAGACCTTTCATGGTTGCTATTACTTCATTTCTAATAATAATTCTAATTATTATTATAACCAAAAAGAATAATAATTCTTATAGTATTTTAATATTTACCTAAAGCATTAAACCCACGTATTCCTAATCCCACAGATGACTGATGGCCCAGGAAGTCAATGCTCGCTGCAGTCAATAGAGGGAGACACTATTATTAGTCAGGGAAAAGTGTTAGCCCCATAATTTTCACACAGTACATGGGGAGTGAGAGGCAATCAGGTTTGGTTCAAGGAAGGGGAGATTATGTCCACTTTCCTTGGAACAAGAACTCCCCACTGGCATCAAGGCACCTTCCTTGAAGGTAAAATGGGTAATGTTTCTCCTGGTAAAGCATCATTATTAATATTCATGGGAAAGTGCTAGAGCCTTAGAGGTCATATAGTGCCTGGAGAATGGAAGATAATCAGGTTTAATTAAAAGAATTATTATTATTATTATAATCAAGGGAGAAGCGCTAAACCCAGAGGATTATACAGCACCTGGGGGGGGGGGGGATGTGGAAGGCATTCAGGCTTAATTCGGGGAACTGGAGCACAGATCCAATTCCCTAAATCAAGAGCCCCTCACCAACATCAAGGAACCTTCCTTGAGGGGTTAATTAAAAGAATTATAATAATAATAACTAAGTGCTAAACCCACAAGGGTCATACAGCAATTAAAAGAAGGTAGTTTTAATTTGTTGGATTATGTACTAACTTTTCATCAGCATGTGGCACCCCCCTTGAACAAGTCAGACTGAGCAACAATGCAAGGTGATGTGCCCCAGTTAGAAACAGTGGCACAATATCTGCAAAAATAACAAAATCTCAAAGACAGTCCATCAGTGCCACTGAATGTTAGGAGTCAGTTCATAAAAACTCCAGATAATCTTTCCTCGGAAGTTTTGATGACATTTCTGTTCATGTCTACTTTCCATACTATACACTCAAAGCTCTCATCAATATTTTGTAAAATACATATAACACCCCCCCCACCAAAAAAAAAAAAAAATATTGAAAAGGATACAAATCTCAAACACAATACGTATTTTCTAAACATATTTTTATTACTTAGACTTTTTCATCTCAACACTTCCATTCTACATAAAACACATATAAACTTAAATAAATTGAGCCTCATTAAAGTCTGGTATGATTAACAGATTATTTAAAAAATTTAAATAATCTGTTAATCATACCAGACTTTATTTCTTTAATTTTTCATCTTACTTTCTTTCAAAAAATTTTCCTTCTCTTTTCGAAGTTTTTCTTTCCTCTTTTCAAAGCCCTTAAATTTCTTCTTATTCACTCTCTTTACTTTGGGCTTTAACTTTATGCTCTTAACAAGCTTCGAAAATTCTTTGGATTCCTTTTTCATCATTGATAATGCTTTGCTGGAGCTGTAATCCTTCCCATCTGTATCGCTGCTCTTGATGCTATGATTGTGGGGCAAAACAAGAGCACCTGTATGAGTCGGATACTTGCCGGAAAAATTCAACGGAATGAAAGGCAATGCAAGCATTTTTGCCAGTATTGTACGTTTATTCTGCAGATCACGTCTCTCACGGGCAGCCTTCATGGATTTTTCTCTCTCAATGTCATCATCATGGTCATCTCTACAATAAGAAACAGAAATTAAAGACACATTAAAGAACATTAATTCTAAGTGTCGCCTTTATTGATAATGGAGGATGGATAGTTAGATAATGGTAATAATAAAAAAAAATTCAGAATACAGAAAATAAAAAAGAAATGAAATGAGCACAGTAGCCAAAGCAATCCATAAACTAGTACAATATTTTGCTACCATGAACATTTGAAACATTGTTCATTAGTACACAAGATGCAGTGCTCTGTTTTATTAGTGATATACAATAAATTTTTTGTAAATGCTAGAGCTAGTAATCTCACTTACTCTTCAACAAGCAATTCAGCTTCCTCTGCAGCCCTCCTGAACCAGTCCTCCTCAGCATGAGCCTTGCGGAGCGTATATTCCATTTTTTCTATTGTACGAGCCAAGTTGAGTCGTTTCTTTACCTGACTCATAATACTTGTGTCAACCGGGAATGGAGGCAAATCTGTGGCCCGGTTGAGTGTATTGCACAGTTGATGGTACTTCTTCAACTCTTCTGGCTCGATAAGAAGAATGCTCAGCCCCTCCTGATGGGCACGGGCAGTACGACCGCTACGATGGATGTATGTCTGCCGTGTGAAATTAACTATGTTTAATTATGTTGGACAATAAAAATATCAATAAAACTATTTTATTTCATTATCCTTTCATCTCTTTAATTTGTAGTGCTGTATATTTTGCAAAAAATCTGAACAATGTGAAGACTAAACAAAAATTCAGGTCACAAAATGCACCACATGCACATTTAATCACAGTCATAACATTTACAAAGAAACTAGAGCAAACTGAGTTGAAGTGATGTCAAAGGAAACAAAAATATGTCTATTTAACTATTAACATGAAAAGTTAAAAGCTTGACTGTGGACATTTCAAAATATGTAAAAAAAAAAAAATATAATAAATAAGAAGTGATTTTAAGAAACAGAGTGAAAAACATGATGAATGAATAATAACAAGTAGACCTTATGATCTCGTAGTTTAAAACATTGGTTGTGGGTTCCTAAACTATATCTGGAATAAACCTAGTAACAGCTGGATAGTGTTCATGAGTTTTTTTAATTTTATATTCTTAAGGCATGGTGGGATACAGCCAGTTTGTTGAAAGAAGAAGATTTATAAGGCACATAAGAGTCATTCAACATATATGAAGAAGAAAAGATAATGGTTACATATACTGATACACTGTACCCAAACACAAAAATTACACTATATTTACCTCCAAGTGACCTAATGACTCAAGAAATCATAATGACACGATTGCAAACAAACCATACCCCCGGCCGGGATTGAACCCGCGGTCATAGAGTCTCAAAACTCCAGCCCGTCACTGGAGTTTTGAGACTCTATGACCGCGGGTTCAATCCCGGCCGGGGGTATGGTTAGTGACCTAATTATATATCAACACTCTTCTTTATTAAGCATGAGACAGAAACACAAATTAGCACTTTAGTAAGGCTCACAGTTAATCACCAAGAAATCAGTCACACTTGTATTACAAGACAAGTTACCCTAAACAGATACATAACGACATTAAATGCAATTCTCACCACGATAAAGAATTTGATATTATTTACTTAGATTTTAGTAAGGCTTTTGATAGAGTTCAGCACCAAAGACTGTTAAAGAAAGTGGCAGCTCATGGCATTGGGGGAAAAGTGCTCTCATGGGTCGAGTCATGGCTCACAGACAGGAAGCAGAGTGTGTCCATAAATGGGGTTAAATCCAGGCCCGGTGGCCTGGTGGCTAAAGCTCCCGCTTCACACACGGAGGGCCCGGGTTCGATTCCCGGCGGGTGGAAACATTTCGACACGTTTCCTTACACCTGTTGTCCTGTTCACCTAGCAGCAAATAGGTACCTGGGTGTTAGTCGACTGGTGTGGGTCGCATCCTGGGGGACAAGATTAAGGACCCCAATGGAAATAAGTTAGACAGTCCTCGATGACGCACTGACTTTCTTGGGTTATCCTGGGTGGCTAATCCTCCGGGGTTAAAAATCCGAACGAAATCTTATCTTATCTTATCTTAACAAGTGGCGTTCCACAGGGATCAGTCTTGGGCCCGTTGTTGTTTATAATATATATCAATGATCTTGATGAGGGTGTTACTAGTGATATGAGCAAATTCGCCGATGACACAAAGATAGGTAGGATAATTGATTCAAACGTAGATGTTAGGGAACTTCAGGAGGATTTAAACAAACTCTATTCTTGGTCAGAAAAGTGGCAGATGCAGTTCAATGTAGATAAATGCAAGGTTCTGAAGCTCGGGAGTGTCCATAACCCTAGCACTTGTAAGTTAAATGATGTAGAACTTAGCCATACAGATTGCGAAAAGGACTTGGGGGTTATGGTGAGCAGCAACCTTAAACCAAGACAGCAATGCCTAAGCGTACGTAATAAGGCAAATAGATTACTGGGATTTAAATCAAGAAGTGTAAGCAACAGAAGTCCAGAGGTCATACTGCAGCTTTATACATCATTAGTAAGGCCTCACCTAAAATATGCAGCTCAATTCTGGTCTCCATATTACAGAATGGACATAAATTCGATAGAAAACATTCAGCGTAGGATGACTAAATTAATACATAGCATTAGAAATCTTCCTTATGAAGAAAGATTGAAAACTCTTAAGTTACATTCACTTGTTAGACGAAGAATGAGGGGAGACCTGATCGAAGTGTATAAGTGGAAGATAGGTATTAATAAAGGTGATATTAATAAGGTCCTGAGGATATCTCTCCAAGAGAGAACCCGCAGTAATGGATTTAAATTAGATAAGTTTAGATTTAGAAAGGACATAGGAAAGTATTGGTTTGGAAATATGGTATTGATGAGTGGAACAGTCTACCTAGTTGGGTTATTGAGGCTAGGACTTTGGGTAGTTTCAAATTTAGGTTGGATAAGTACATGAGTGGGAAGGGTTGGATTTGAGTGGGACTTGCACATTAGAGCATTTGCCCAACCCCTTGGGTTGGGCAAATGTTTTGTTAGTGAGATAAATTGTAAAGGACCTGCCTAGTATGGGCCAACAGGCCTGCTGCAGTGTTCCTCATTTCTTATGTTCTTATGTTCTTAACATAATATACACTCTAACACAAAATATGCACAGCACTAAATGCACACACCAACATGGAACCCACACCTGAGAAAGCACATTAAGAACCTGGAGAAAATGCAAAGTATGCACGAACTAGTTCCAGAGCTAAGGAATATGAGGTGCAGAGAGGGGCTAACAGAAAGGAATCTAACACCACTGGAGGACAGAAGGACCAGGGAAGACAGTATAGCAACATACAATATACTCAAGAGGAACTGAGAGACTAAACAGAGACAGGCTGCTTCAGAGGTAGAAATAAGGGACTCGGGGGCACAGCTGTAAGTTAGACACAATGAACTACAGGGATGTCAAGAAGAATTTCTTCATTCTCAGGGTGGTTAGGAAGTGGAATGACCTCAACAAAGATGTAGTGTTATGAAATAGCACTGAATGCAACATTTTATTCTGATATGAGCAATACCTTTGGAGATTTATATACTTCTCCATTGATTTCTCCACAAATTCTGCATCATGATAATCTCTGCACATTCAGGCACAAAATAAAAATGACTAGAACAGCCAAATCCCTAATGAACATTAATGATATTCACCATGTGTGTAATAGTGAATGACAAAAAAAATATATGCAGCAAAGTATATGCACATCATTAGTCCCTTTGAAAAAATTAATACACAAGTTACCATTCAATTTCAGCATTTTTAACATACAGAAATCATTTTTAAGATTTTTACAATTTATTCCAGTAATTACTTTTCACTTTGCCCTTAAAAGGTATTAATTAATTACCTCAGCTGTTCTAGGCACTTGATAATGGATGACATGCTGAATGCTTGGTATGTCCAGACCCCGGGCAGCAACATCTGTGGCTAACAGCAGGGCATGAGGGTTACTTGAAAACCGCTCTAAACTCTTAAGACGCTGCTTTTGTTGCATTGATGCATGAAGTGACTGTAAAAAACAATCCAGGTTAAGTGCTGGCAATCTGAAGCATAAGTGGGGGTGCTATGACTCTCAGAATCATATGAGTTACAGGGACAAATGAGGATGTTGCACTTTTCTGGCAAGACAGCGATTGAATGAATGACAGTGAATGAGTTTCCTCTTTTTTTGGGTCACCCAACCTCGGTGAGAGACAACCGGTGTGTTATAAAAAACAAGAAAATGAATTGTGATACCTATGCACTTCCTGAAATGGAATGAAATGAATATTGGTTACAGGTGTGATGAAAATGGTTCTGAAAACCAACAAGTTGAGTGTACTATATATAAAAAATAGTAATACTAATTTTATTTTTTATCAAACTGGCCGTATCCCACTGAGGCAGGGAGACCTAAAAAGAAAAAGAAAAGTTTCTTTTTAACTTTAGTAATGTATAAAGGAGAAGGGGTTACTAACCCTTTGCTCCGGGCATTTTAGTCGCCTCTTATGACTAAAACGCCGTAAGTATTATCTCCCCATGGAGAAAATAATTTTTTTTTTTCAACAAGTCGGCCGTCTCCCACCGAGGCAGGGTGACCCAAAGAGAAAGAAAATCCCCAAAAAGAAAATACTTTCATCATCATTCAACACTTTCACCTCACTCGCACATAATCACTGCTTTTGCAGAGGTGCCCAGAATACAACAGCTTAGAAGTATATACGTATAAAAATACACACTGTATCTCTCCAAACTGCCAATATCCCAAACCCCTCCTTTAGAGTGCAGGCATTGTACTTCCCATTTCCAGGACTCAAGTCCAGTTATATAAAATAACCGGTTTCCCTGAATCCCTTCACTAAATATTACCCTGCTCACACTCCAACAGATCGTCAGGTCCCAAATGCCATTTGTCTCCATTCACTCCTATCTAACACGCTCATGCACACTTGCTGGAAGTCCAAACCCCTCGCCCACAACACCTCCTTTACCCCCTCCCTCCAACCTTTTCGAGGACGACCCCTACCCCGCCTTCCTTCCCCTCCATGTCATTCTACTTTGATCCATTCTCTCTAAATGACCAAACCACCTCAACAAACCCTCTTCAGCCCTCTGACTAATAATTTTTTTTTTTTTTTTTTCAACAAGTCGGCCGTCTCCCACCGAGGCAGGGTGACCCAAAAAAGAAAGAAAACAATTTTCTTCTTATTCTTTTTAGTAATCTTTACAGGAAAAGGGGTTACTAGCCCATTGTTCCCGGCATTTTAGTTGACTTTTACAACACGCATGGCTTACGGAGGAAAGATTCTTATTCCACTTCCCCATGGATATAAAAGGAAAAGTAATAAGACCAAGAACTATTAAGATAAAATCAAAGAAAACTCAGATGAGTGTGTATAAATAAATGTGTACATGTATGTGTAGTGTGACCTAAGTGTAAGTAGAAGTAGCAAGACATGCCTGTAATCTTGCATATTTATGAGACAGACAAAAGACATCAGCAATCCTACCATCATGTAAAACAATCACAGGCTTTCGTTTTACACTCACTTGGCAGGACGGTAGTACCTCCCTGGATGGTTGCTGTCTACCAACCTACTACCTACTCTGACTAATAATACTTAATAATAATACTGAGCAATACTTAATAATAATAATTATTAATAATAATGTGGGGTCACTGCAGCTTGGAGAGGCATCTGAACTGTAGTACAGCATGCCTCTGGCAAGACAGTGGAGTGAGTGATCATGAAAATATTTCTTCTTTTTTGGGTCACCCTCCCACTAATTTTAATCAATTTGAACAATACAAACTGTAGCAACTATATTGTTTTCAACAAAGATTACAAACCTGTGGGTGACACTGCAACAGAGTGAAAAGGTTCTGCAGCCTGCGTACACAGTCAATGCTGTTGCAGAAGACTAAAGTACGCCCAGGATAACACTTAAGAAAGTAGTACAGATATAGGTCTTTCTCCTCCTGCAACAACAAAAAAACATTGATTATAATGCATACCAGTGAAATACAGTACCTCTTATGAGTATTTTTGAGGGCTCTACAGTTTGATGCCCGACTCACAAAATCATAATACAGTAATCTTTCTTAAAAGCTCCTTTGTATAGCGTGAGATTTTGTAAATGTGATTAAAAAGGTACATCTGCAATGAAATAGCGGATACTGTGAAGACATTTGAAATGTATCTACGTGCACCTCTCGCAAGACAGTGATAGTGTGAATGATGGTGAAAGTGTTTCTTCAGGTCACCCTGCCTTGGTGGGAGACAGCCAGTGTTAAAAACAATGAAGACCTTTTCATGTGCTTTTCAATTTTGGATGTACTTTTTCAAATGCATTTTCAAAAATTAAACTACAAGGACCATAACATTGTATCAATCGCATCTGCTAGAAAAATGACAGGATGGATAATGAGAACCTTCAAAACTAGGGAGGCCAAGCCCATGATGACACTCTTCAGGTCACTTGTTCTATCTAGGCTGGAATATTGCTGCACTCTAACAGCACCTTTCAAGGCAGGTGAAATTGCCGACCTAGAAAATGTACAGAGAACTTTCACGGCGCGCATAACGGAGATAAAACACCTCAATTACTGGGAGCGCTTGAGGTTTCTAAACCTGTATTCCCTGGAACGCAGGAGGGAGAGATACATGATTATATACACCTGGAAAATCCTAGAGGGACTAGTACCGAACTTGCACACGAAAATCACTCACTACGAAAGCAAAAGACTTGGCAGACGATGCACCATCCCCCCAATGAAAAGCAGGGGTGTCACTAGCACGTTAAGAGACCATACAATAAGTGTCAGGGGACCGAGACTGTTCAACTGCCTCCCAGCACACATAAGGGGATTTACCAACAGACCCCTGCAGTTCTTCAAGCTGGACTGGACAAGCACCTAAAAGTCAGTTCTGATCAAGCGGGACTGTGGCTCTTTACGTTGGTTTGCGTGCAGCCAGCAGCAAAGCCTGGTTGATCAGGCGCTGATCCACCAGGAGGCCTGGTCACGGACCGGGCCGCGGGGGCGTTGACCCCCGGGGCTCTCTCCAGGTAGACTCCAGGTAGACATAAAGGAGATTTATAAGAGACCAGGCTGCAGTATGGCTGTAACTAACTCAGTGAAAGGGTGGGGTTCAAACCAAGGTGAGCCAGTCTTAAAACTAACATGTCACTGTGCCAACCACTGTACAGTGCCAGCTCAATGACATTCACCATGGCCACTATGCAAGATTTCTACAGATGAATCTCATAGCAATATTGCAATGGCAAGCACTAGCCCATGCTGTAATTGGTTAACTTAAGTGATACTACACAACTGTCATGAACTCAGCACTGCAAAATAAAAGAGAGAATAAACATAGAAAAAATCATGTTAGTGAAAAGCAAAAACAGATAACAGTATATAGGGAACTACTTTACATATATAAAAGGCCAATTGTCAGATTATATATTAAATATATATTAAAAAAATTATTTTATGAATATAAAACAAAAGCAGTACATAACTAATGAGTAAGCAACCTCTTGAATGCATAAAACAATATTTGCAATAAAAATTACTGCATTTAGCAACAACAATAGTTACCTTATTGCAGGTAATTCTGGCCTCTGTTAAACTTTCAGCCGTTCCAAACTTGCGTGTTAAATCAACTACCTTTGGATCTGGTTTGACTCCAATTATCTTCGCTAACTGGTCAATTTTGAGTTCAGATGTCATTTTCACTGTCTGAAATATAAATATAATTGTGTTTATTGATATTGAATTTCTCTCTCTTCTCTACATTACTCCCATCTCCAGTTGTATAAATGAGTGATTACTACCCACTTAACAAACCTTTTTGCCTTCATATAAGAAGTTCTTAAATTTAAACTTTTATACACCTCACAATATTTTCCTTTCACAACTGATCTTCCAGGATTACAAGACACAAGGCCTTAGCACTTGGTCTCTCAAATACGTACAACTTAACTCCTTAAAATCCTTTCCCTTCAGAAGTTCCCAAACCTTAAAGCTTTGTTTAAACCAGCTTCCTTTCATTCATAACATCGACAGTCATTTCTTAAAATCCACATTACATTCATGCGCATTCAAACCAACTTTCAAAACTTCCTTCAATTTCTTTACAGTTATTTCATGTAGAAAAGGGGTAACCACCTCCTTGATCTTGGAAAATAATTCACCTTTTTTTCTAAAAACTGGAAAGAAAATTAACAGATTTAAGGAGCATTCAGGAAAGTAAAGATGAAAAGTGAATTGTGCAATCCACTCCCCTATGAAAAAGTTTATATTATGAAAAAGTTTTTATAAATGAATTAAAAACAATTGAAAAAGCAACTGTGTCCCTATACCACAACACTGATTTTTTTTGCAGAGTACAGATCATTAAGCGTCATCTCAGAATTTCCTTGATAAATCTTTCACCGATACTAGAAAATTCATATTTGACAGTTTAATGATTTTTATTACATTAGAACTGCTTAATTTTTGGTTGTTAATCTAACTCTAACTTTTATGAAGGGATTCAGAAATACTGATCAGCTGAACTCGAGTCGTGGAGGTGGGAAAGGCAGAGCCTGCATTCTGAAGGTGAGGTGAGGATATGACAGTTGGAAGGTAATCTGACTATGATGTCAGAACACTTCTGGAAAAACTGCAGTTGAATGAATGATGACAAATGTGTTATCTTCCTTGGGTCACCCTGCCTTGGCAGGAGATGGCTAATGAGATAAAAAAAAAAGTGGGCTAAGATCAATACTGTGCACTATAAAACCAACAATGTAATAGTACAAATGATGTTTTTTCAAGTCTGTAAATCAATAATCACATGTTTACCTTATGATGTTCACAACTTGTAGTCTTCTCAGAGTGCAAAAAAAGTTAAACAGGTTTCCATTTTATTACTGATATGAAAGAAAGATAGCACTTCCTTGGAGAGCTGCTATGTAAATTGACTGACAAAAGTATGAAAATACAAAACTCAACAAGTAGTAAAAAACAAAAATGCATAATACTGTGGCTGGAACAATACACAAATAAGCCACATATTGGAGAAAGAAACTTATGACGAAATGAGTCACTAATACACGAAGGTAAGGGAGTCAGTGTATATATACAGGAGGAGGACAGGGACTTACACACTTTCTTGTGTCAGTGTGATTACTTAATGGTCCAAGTTGGTCCAAAATGTCATCACACGTTTCTTTCTCCTATATGTGGGTTATCTGTGCAACAACCAGTAACACTAACTTTCGTCTTCATGCTCAGCCTCTTGGGTACAGTGTGAACAATGGAAAGGGTTGCAGAGAAGACAAAAGTCTGCCGTGCTTTCTTAGCGGATTCGTTGCTGTTTATCAATTCCAGGAGTTGCGTTAACTCTTGGAAGTGTCCCCGCTCAACCATACGATCAGTTTCATCTATAGCCAGGTAACTGTCAAGGAGTAAATCCATTAAAATTCCTCACTTGTAATGGTGAGGAAGCACTCACCCAGAAAGAATGAAAAATTATTAAATTACAGGAAAATTGAAGATGAGAAAATATTTAGCGACACACTGCATTAAAATACACTAAATTTAAAAAAAAAAAATATTATTTTCAGTACAGCAATAACAAATATACAGCATTCACATAATTAAAATGATATGCAATCTCCTTAATTTATATTAAATGTAATATCTAACCTAGCCTAATGAAAATTTTGACACACTACTACTCACCGAATATCTGGGACCTGAATGAGGTGTTTATTGCCTTGATCAATCAATTCCCAAAGACGTCCTGGAGTCCCAATCACAATTTCAGGACCACGGTTAAGTAAACGCTCTTGCTTTTGAAGTGACACGCCACCCATAACAACGACTATTTGTATATCAGTATGGACTAATACTGCTGCCAAATGACTTTTAACCTAAAAGGAAATGAAGGCATTATACAGTATCTCAAAATATTATTCTCAGTGAAGTACTCAACTGCAATAAGAGATAAGATTTTGTTCGGATTTTTAACCCTGGAGGGTTAGCCACTCAGGATAACCCAAGAAAGGCAGTGCATCATCGAGGAACTGTCTGAGTCTTATTTCCATTGAGGTCCTCAATCTTGTCCCCCAGGATGTAACCCACACCAGTCAACTAACACCCAGGTACCTACTTGCTTGCTAGGTGAACAGGACAACAGGTGTAAGGAAACATGCCCAATATTTCTACCTTTGCCAGGGACTGAACCATGGACAGTGTGTGAAGCGAGAGCATTGCCTACCAGGCTACGGTCCACCTTATGTACAGTAATAATAACTTTTTTTAACACAATTACATACAGCTTCCCACCAAGGTAGCATGCCACTGAAAGATATGCAAACTTTTTCCTGTGATGTACGACCCCATATAGTTACGGGACAAAGATTCTAACTCGCTTCTCCATGGGAATTGTTTCATAATCCACATGATTAGATTATTCAATGTTTTTTACTGAAGGACATTCAACAAACAGCTGTGATTATTGTTTTTCTTGGTGGCCATTTTTAATTTTTTCATTTGGCACACGAACCTTAAATTGAAAAATAATTACAGTATACAATTTCATTCATAATGTGTTCATTCTTTCTTAAGCAGATTACAGCAATATTTATGGAGACGCATGAATGCACGAGTCACAATAATTTTTTTTTTTTTTTTTTTTTTTTTTTATCACACTGGCCGATTCCCACCAAGGCAGGGTGGCCCGAAAAAGAAAAACTTTCACCATCATTCACTCCATCACTGTCTTGCCAGAAGGATGCTTTACACTACAGTTTTTAAACTGCAACATTAACACCCCTCCTTCAGAGTGCAGGCACTGTACTTCCCATCTCCAGGACTCAAGTCCGGCCTGCCGGTTTCCCTGAACCCCTTCATAAATGTTACTTTGCTCACACTCCAACAGCACGTCAAGTATTAAAAACCATTTGTCTCCATTCACTCCTATCAAACACGCTCACGCATGCCTGCTGGAAGTCCAAGCCCCTTGCACACAAAACCTCCTTTAACCCCTCCCTCCAACCTTTCCTAGGCCGACCCTACCCCGCCTTCCTTCCACTACAGACTGATACACTCTTGAAGTCATTCTGTTTCGCTCCATTCTCTCTACATGTCCGAACCACCTCAACAACCCTTCCTCAGCCCTCTGGACAACAGTTTTGGTAATCCCGCACCTCCTCCTAACTTCCAAACTACGAATTCTCTGCATTATATTCACACCACACATTGCCCTCAGACATGACATCTCCACTGCCTCCAGCCTTCTCCTCGCTGCAACATTCATCACCCACGCTTCACACCCATATAAGAGCGTTGGTAAAACTATACTTTCATACATTCCCCTCTTTGCCTCCAAGGACAAAGTTCTTTGTCTCCACAGACTCCTAAGTGCACCACTCACTCTTTTTTCCCTCATCAATTCTATGATTCACCTCATCTTTCATAGACCCATCCGCTGACACGTCCACTCCCAAATATCTGAATACGTTCACCTCCTCCATACTCTCTCCCTCCAATCTGATATTCAATCTTTCATCACCTAATCTTTTTGTTATCCTCATAACCTTACTCTTTCCTGTATTCACCTTTAATTTTCTTCTTTTGCACACCCTACCAAATTCATCCACCACTCTCTGCAACTTCTCTTCAGAATCTCCCAAGAGCACAGTGTCATCAGCAAAGAGCAGCTGTGACAACTCCCACTTTGTGTGTGATTCTTTATCTTTTAACTCCACGCCTCTTGCCAAGACCCTCGCATTTACTTCTCTTACAACCCCATCTATAAATATATTAAACAACCACGGTGACATCACACATCCTTGTCTAAGGCCTACTTTTACTGGGAAAAAATTTCCCTCTTTCCTACATACTCTAACTTGAGCCTCACTATCCTCGTAAAAACTCTTCACTGCTTTCAGTAACCTACCTCCTACACCATACACTTGCAACATCTGCCACATTGCCCCCTATCCACCCTGTCATACGCCTTTTCCAAATCCATAAATGCCACAAAGACCTCTTTAGCCTTATCTAAATACTGTTCACTTATATGTTTCACTGTAAACACCTGGTCCACACACCCCCTACCTTTCCTAAAGCCTCCTTGTTCATCTGCTATCCTATTCTCCGTCTTACTCTTAATTCTTTCAATTATAACTCTACCATACACTTTACCAGGTACACTCAACAGACTTATCCCCCTATAATTTTTGCACTCTCTTTTATCCCCTTTGCCTTTATACAAAGGAACTATGCATGCTCTCTGCCAATCCCTAGGTACCTTACCCTCTTCCATACATTTATTAAATAATTGCACCAACCACTCCAAAACTATATCCCCACCTGCTTTTAACATTTCTATCTTTATCCCATCAATCCCGGCTGCCTTACCCCTTTCATTTTACCTACTGCCTCACGAACTTCCCCCACACTCACAACTGGCTCTTCCTCACTCCTACAAGATGTTATTCCTCCTTGCCCTATACACGAAATCACAGCTTCCCTATCTTCATCAACATTTAACAATTCCTCAAAATATTCCCTCCATCTTCCCAATACCTCTAACTCTCCATTTAATAACTCTCCTCTCCTATTTTTAACTGACAAAATCCATTTGTTCTCTAGGCTTTCTTAACTTGTTAATCTCACTCCAAAACTTTTTCTTATTTTCAACAAAATTTGTTGATAACATCTCACCCACTCTCTCATTTGCTCTCTTTTTACATTGCTTCACCACTCTCTTAACCTCTCTCACAATAAATGTGCCTCAATAAATATGTGAGTGCACACACACACACAAAAAAAAAAAAACATGAAATTTTCATCAACTTTCAGTTTTTACTCATCTTGAAATTTCCAATTAGTCCTTACTATATTTTGCCTTTCTTTATCTTCCTATTCTAATGCCTTCAACCAGATCAGCATCATTTTGGCAAGACAAGATGCAGCCCTACAGCACAGTGTCGCAAGAAACCGAGAAACATAATGGTGTGCTCCACAGATGTGGAGGATCAATATATGGAATAAAATTCTAGTAAAACAAGAAATAAAACATATATTCATCCCAGAATGCTCAGATTTCTTGGATCAAAACCCCTTCACCATGTCAAGGAACTCCTTGAACTAAAGTATTAGTAAAGTAGTAAATAACGAACTTTAACCAATTACCTGAATGGCAAGTTCCCGAGTTGGTGTTATGATGAGCGCTCTGAGCTTATTCTGGGAACCCTTAGCTTTTTCAAAAGCCATTTTTGCCTCAGGAAAGTCAAAATCAACATTGTCTACAACTCTCACGCAGCCAAAACTTTTATCTTCAGAATTTATTTCACTGAGTTTATCATCCTGGAAATCATTAATGTCACTATTGTCCCCAGAACTTCCCTCCTCTGCTGCTTCATCCTCTTCATCTATAGATAAATCTTGGGCTTCATCATTGCGCTCCTCAGAATTTTCACTGTTCTCCAAGATTTTTTCTTCAATCATTGAATTCTCTTGTAACTCATTATCGCTATTCTCAACACCGCTATCTTCTTCATCTTCTTGCAAGTGCTCTGCCTCATTCTTTTTATCCACAAGAATCCCATGTATAATGGGAATGCCAAATGCGAGAGTTTTCCCACTGCCAGTCTCAGCAGCTCCAATGACATCCATTCGACCTTTGATGGCAGCAGGGAGGACAAGTTTCTGAAATGCCAGTAAATAATAAATCAGGCTAACTACTTTATGCAAAATATAATGATTTACTACTTTACAAATTACATACATGTGTACTATTTAACCAAACAAATATGGTGATTCATGGATTTATATAGCTATATTATACAAATCACTGAAAATTTCTATCATCAGACTTTCTCATTAACCCTTTGACTGTTGCAACCCCCAATCCTGAGGTGTCTCCTGGTGCTGCAAAATTTAAAAAAAAAAATATTTTTTCTCATGAAATGATTGAGAATCTTTTCCCGATTGTAATGACACCAAAAACACGAAATTTGATGGAAAACTGACGGAATTACGCTCTCGCGAAGTTAGCAACCTCGGCGATATTTACAAATCGGCAATTTTGCCCACTTTGAGCCCTATTTTCGGCTAATTCCATTGTTCCAGTTGACCAAACTCATAGCTATTTCTTTAGAACTCCGTTTTTTCTATCGACTAAGTACAAGAAACTGCCCATTTACCAATTTCAACTACCCAACAACGTGGTCAGAAATTTGCAATTTGGCCAATTACACGAAAATTAAAAAATATGACAATTTCAAAATAAGGTCCAGAATGAACAATGCAGACATTCCTGGCTCTAAAATAACATTTTCTTTGTTCATCAGTCATGTCTCCAGACCCCTCTGATATTACTCTTGCTTTCTATTTTGAATTTTTATTCAAACAAAAAATAGAAGATTTACTGTTATGCAGACTACTGCAATACTGTAATAATTGTATAAATAACATCAACCCATTCATGACTGCATATCAGAATAGCTAGTTGGACATTTATTGGACAATGACATCATTTGTTTACTTTTGAACATTGGCAAAAATCAAACATTTCCCCTACTTTGAGCTCCATTTCCAGGTTCTTTTTATAGTAAAATCAATCAAAATCACCTCTATTTCTATAATATGTTTTCCATTCTATCAAATGAGACCAAGAAAACGAGAATACAACCATAAATACTAGACGAAAATAGACCACAAAGTCGGCATTTTAATTAAAAAAAATGGTCGGAGTTTTTTTTTTCTCATTATGTACTGTGTGCTCCAGGATTTTTTTTATATGGTGCACACTGACCACACAGACCCATTCTCTCACATGTGGGGCCTACCAGCTTTCTCCTGCTTGATTTGAAGCCGCTAGAATTTATGAGTGTATATACGTTAAACACGGTACCTCGTAAGATGTGTATATATGACCGCGACAGTCAAAGGGTTAAGCAGATAAAATAACCCACCATCTCCTCTACTGACAGCTATTTGTTTTTGTATTCATTTTCTTTAAAATACAGTGCATGTGCTCTGAAGGAGAGGTGGAGATATTGGAATTTTTGAATTGTAGTGTAGGTGCAACTCTGGCAAGACAATGGACTGAATGATGATGAGTGTTTCTTCTGTTTTGGGTCACCCTGCCTCGGTGGGAAACGACCAATGTGTTAATAAAAAACAATTAAAAAATAAGATGTTTTCTGGAGCTTGTTTTTTGCTATATGTTTTATTCCATTCATGTAAATACCAGATTAAAACAACTGGACCACTATGTATTAGTTGACTTTCAAGAAACTCTTGCCATCTAAAATGCAATACCTTCAGCTCTAATTGATTTTGTTCATGCCTTATACCTAGGTGGTAGCAAACATGCCTTCACTGTAATTTATGATAAATTTTCTGTGTATTTTCTAACATTCACTAATTTGGTTGTCTCACTGGGTTAGTTTGGTTTGACACTGATAACACTGATTTCATTGTGGCTTCTTCATTTGTTCTTGTCCATTATTTTCATTTCTATTTTAATGGTCTGAATGGTAACACCTTTCCAAGTAGCAATAATCTGTCTGAAGGTGCCAAGCTAGACTATCCTATGGCCTATGTTTTTTCCAACGAAAATACATGAGATCCTCACAGATCACTTAAGAAATGAGTGTGCAACTGTTCATAATATTATTGTCATTTTTTCATAGCTGTATCATATGAATGAAAGACATTAGTGCTCTGAAAACTACAGACCTTTTATGTGTCTATATGGACTACCATATATGTTGTATGCATATGGTCAGCCCCATGAGAAAAGGGATACCATATCAAATCTATAATTTTTTTTTTTTCAACAAACCAGCCATATCCCACCAAGGCAGGGTGGTGGCCCGAAAAGAAAAACGAACGTTTCTCTTTTTAAATTTAGTAATTTATACAGGAGAAGGGGTTACTAGCCCCTTGCTCCCGGCATTTTAGTTGCCTCCTACAACACGCATGGCTTATGGAGGAAGAATTCTGTTCCACTTCCCCATGGAGATAAGAGGAAATAAACAAGAACTAGAAAGAAAATAAAAGAAAACCCAGAGGGGTGTGTATATATATGCTTGTACATGTAAATTTGGGGAGCCAGGGGTAAATGTAAATGGGGAGCCTTTAATTGAGCTATGTGTAGAAAGAGATTTGGTAATAAGTAATACATATTTTATGAAAAAGAGGATAAATAAATATACAAGGTATGATGTAGCACGTAATGAAAGTAGTTTATTAGATTATGTATTGGTGGATAAAAGGTTGATGGGTAGGCTCCAGGATGTACATGTTTATAGAGGGGCAACTGATATATCGGATCATTATTTAGTTGTAGCTACAGTTAGAGTAAGAGGTAGATAGGAAAAGAGGAAGGTGGCAACAACAAGTAAGAGGGAGGTGAAAGTGTTTAAACTAAGGGAGGAGGAAGTTCGGGTGAGATATAAGCGACTATTGGCAGAAAGGTGGGCTAGTGCAAAGATGAGTAGTGGGGGGGGGGGTTGAAGAGGGTTGGAATAGTTTTAAAAATGCAGTATTAGAATGTGGGGCAGAAGTTTGTGGTTATAGGAGGGTGGGGGCAGGAGGAAAGAGTGATTGGTGGAATGATGAAGTAAAGGGTGTGATAAAAGAGAAAAAGGTAGATTATGAGAGGTTTTTACAAAGCAGAAGTGTTATAAGAAGAGCAGAGTATATGGAGAGTAAAAGAAAGGTAAAGAGAGTGGTGAGAGAGTGCAAAAGGAGAGCAGATGATAGAGTGGGAGAGGCACTGTCAAGAAATTTTAATGAAAATAAGAAAAAATTTTGGAGTGACTTAAACAAGTTAAGAAAGCCTAGGGAAAGTATGGATTTGTCAGTTAAAAACAGAGTAGGGGAGTTAGTAGATGAGGAGATGGAGGTATTAGGTAGATGGCGAGAATATTTTGAGGAACTTTTAAATGTTAACCCCTTCAGGGTCCAAGGCCCAAATCTGAAGTGGTGCCCCAGTGTCCAAGAATTTTCAAAAAAAAAAAAAATTTATTTTTTCTTATGAAATGGTACAGAATCTTTTTGTGAAGGTAATAAAACAAAAAGTACGAAATTTGATGGAAAATTGACGAAATTATGCTCTCGCGAATTTTGATGTGTCAGCGATATTTACGAATCGGCGATTTTGCCGACTTTGACTCCATTTTAGGACAATTACATTATTCCAGTCAACCAAATTCTTAGCTATTTCACTAGTATTACTTCTATTCTATCGATTGAGCACAAGAAATCGCCAAGTCAACTGTTTCAACTACAAATTAAAGTGATCGGAAATTGTTAATTTGGCCAATTTAACACAAAGTTCAAAATATTCCAATTTCAAAATAGGGTCCAGAATAAACAATGTAGGTATTCCTGGAACTAAACTAACATTTCCTCTGTTCATTAGTTATGTTTTGAGGCTTTACAAATAAATTCCATTTTGATTTTTTATTCACATAATGAATTTTTATTCACACCAAAAAATAGTAGATTTACTGTTATGTAATACTGTAATAATTGTATAAATATCATCACCATATTTGTGAATGCATATCAGACCCACCAGCTGGCGTGTATTAGACGTGTGAGGTCGTTTGTTTACTCTTGAATATCGGCAAAAATTTAACATTTCTGCTACTTTGAGCTCAGTTTCAAGCCATTTCCAGTGCTAAAACCAATCAAAATCATCTCTATTTCTGTAATATGTCTTCCATTCTATCAAATGAGACCAAGAAATCGCAAATACAACTATAAAAAACATACGAAAAAACACTGCAAAGTCGCTGTTTTAATCAAAAAATCATGATTTCAGTTTTTTTCTCTCATTATACACAGTGTGCTGCAGGATCTGTTTTATGTGGTGCACACATACCACATAGATGTATTCTCTCATATCTAGGCCCAAATGTACCACTCACAGTTTATCAGAGTGAGCTGAGCTCATGACATAGATCTACGGTTTGGACCCTGAACGTAAAGCCGTAGATCTACGGGACGGACCCTGAAAGGCTTAAGGAAGAAAGAGAGGCAGTAATTTCATGCACTGGTCAGGGAGGTATACCATCTTTTAGGAGTGAAGAAGAGCAGAATGTAAGTGTGGGGGAGGTACGTGAGGCATTACGTAGAATGAAAGGGGGTAAAGCAGCTGGAACTGATGGGATCATGACAGAAATGTTAAAAGCAGGGGGGGATATAGGGTTGGAGTGGTTGGTACTTTTGTTTAATAAATGTATGAAAGAGGGGAAGGTACCTAGGGATTGGCAGAGAGCATGTATAGTCCCTTTATATAAAGGGAAAGGGGACAAAAGAGACTGCAAAAATTATAGAGGAATAAGTTTACTGAGTATACCAGGAAAAGTGTACGGTAGGGTTATAATTGAAAGAATTAGAGGTAAGACAGAATGTAGGATTGCGGATGAGCAAGGAGGTTTCAGAGTGGGTAGGGGATGTGTAGATCAAGTGTTTACATTGAAGCATATATGTGAACAGTATTTAGATAAAGGTAGGGAAGTTTTTATTGCATTTATGGATTTAGAAAAGGCATATGATAAGAGTGGATAGAGTAGCAATGTGGCAGATGTTGCAAGTATATGGAATAGGTGGTAAGTTATTAAATGCTGTAAAGAGTTTTTATGAGGATAGTGAGGCTCAGGTTAGGGTGTGTAGAAGAGAGGGAGACT